CCTTAACCATATTTCTAATTTTTAAATTAATATTAAAGAGTTTAGTAAGCCAAGAAACTCCCAAATCTCCTATATACTTCCACAATTCAACAGGATATCATCAGGATCTACTGATTTTTTACTAATGTGGCGGTAAAAATAAAATAGTTTATTATTATTATTAATGATAGTGAGATTATTAAAGTCGACTGTGTTTTCAAAAATTTCATTGAAAAGTTTATCAAATAAGGTCACCCAAATATGTTGAATATTTTTCTCTAAGCAAATCATTTTTTGATTTTCATCTTTAATAAAATTTACTTGAATTGAATCTTTAATTATATATATATTACTTTCTTCAGCATCTAAAATATTATAATGATAATTGAAAGTTAAATTTTTATTATCAGGAATTATTATCTTAGAGTCCCTACGAGCCACCTTATATTTTTCTCATATTTCTATGATTTTAAATTAAACATGTATGAGTTTATTGTCTTGCAACTCTCTAGGCCGATCGACTAAGCTAAGTTAGGTTTGAGTTAGCAAAGCTCAGTGCAACAACCAGGACCAGCTTGATAGGCTGATATTAGTCCATATGGGTCGGCCAATTCATGTGGTCTGGTTATTGATCCTCGACCTCTGATGAGGAGCCTGTGGGCGTTAGTTAGATGGTTGGAGATGCTCAGGAACTAGATGTTCCTCACATCAGCTCTCCTATGATTGCCTTGAATTTCCTTTTGCATTGTTTCAATCAAAATGGATCATATTTGTATCATCTGGTAGTCTTTGATCTATCTCATGGTTTGATCGGCTTTGTCCTTACTCGCATTTGCTCGGATAGTTTCACCCGATTGAACAATTGAGCCTCATGGTCTTCTATCGGTGGACGCTTTTTCGTCATACTCTTTTCTTTTGGAGCATCATATTTTCTAGGGATTGGCACTGGAACCTTTTTTTATGCACATTAATAAAGAAAAAAAAAAGAATGTAGAGAGTTGTCTACAAATAACTCCAAATGAAGAATGGCCTTTAATTACCCGGGCCCGGGAAAAAAAAATATACTCTCGTTGTCATAATATATATGAATATAGCGCCATGTAATAAGCAAGGGATAAAAAAACTCTAATGATTATTATAAAAAACATTTATTGTATAATAGTTTTTGTATTCTTATATGGATTTTTTTTAATATAACAAAAGAAGAATTATTCGTTTCAATAATTTGATAAATTAAAATTATAAATATTTATAATACATTTCACATTTATACAAATCTTACTATACTAAATACCTTGATTCAACTTAATATAAGATTTTAATGGGGGTAAGATTTCATTTTATTCATAATAATTGTTGTGTGTCAAGAGTTCGCAAAGATGGAGATGTATTAGGTCTTAGAATTATACATAAAATCTAGTACATAAACAAAAATAAAGAAGAGCTCATAGAGGGAGGCACTAAAGGTTTTTATGGTAAAACCTCAAATGAAATAAATAAGGTACTTAGTATAGTCGAAATGATTTCACTATCCATACATATGTTATATGACCTTATATGCCCGTAAAAAAATTAACTTGATTTTTACTACATGTGTGATAGAAAATGTTCGGGAAGATATATTGACTTGACTGTGATGGTAGAACGTGGATCACAATGGCTGCGTGATGAAGAACTGAGATTAGGGTCACTGACGGAGGTGGCGACTAGGCAAAAGTGGTTCAATGATAATAGTAGCGATAGCTAGGTGACAGAGATCTGATAGTGCCAGTTCAACCATAAAGGTCTAATGGTGGCGATGATGTTAGCCAGGCGACGATGGTCGACAACAACCACCATAGTAGCAGAGCAATGGTGACGATGGCAGCGCGATAACACTATGATTATGGTATGGCAGCAGACAAGTGTTGGTAATATGTATGTAGTTGGCTCTGAGAAATGGTGATTAGGTAACAATAATTGTTGACCTCATATTTGGTCAACCAACTCACATCTGACTCAACACACACTCATGGAGCCCCTCCCTGGACTAGAGTGGTCATGCTTGGCTTGGATGTAGCTAAGCCTAAAAGTTCCTTGGTGTGGTTTCTCCCAGATCGGTTGTAGCCATGCTGAGGAGTGTCTCAACGTGGTCACGCCCAAAAGTTTCCTAGCATGATCTCAAGCGATGCTGACGTGACCACGTCTTCGAACCACGCCAACAATCCGTGACAAATCATTTTGCCGCGTCGTGTCCTTCACTGACAGACATCTTTGACACCTCCAACCGCCAGAATAATCTAGACTGTCAACTCACCACTCAATTGACAGCCACAAAGGCCTTTACCACCGCCTCACTAACATATAAATAAGCGTTCCTCCTCACTATCTCGACACTTTTGGCTTCCTTTTCTTTAGTTTAGTGCAGAGAAGAGGAAGAAGAAGACTAAGCCTCTTCCTCCGAGAAAGCACCTTGACTTTCTCTCTAATAAGCTTCCTCACCTTTCTCTTCTCTTTTTAGTTTATTTCCAAGTTTTAAAAATTTTAAATTTAGGTCAAGCCAAATCAATGACCTTGGATTATGCTTGGGTTTGGGTCAAATTCAGATCATGCCGAACCCAGCCTAACCCTAACCTAAGCCTAACTCTGACCTATCTCAACTTTGACATGGCCTGACCCATCCTAGGTAAACCTAGGTCAACTTAGAACTAACCCAGGTCTAACTCCAAGGTAAACCTAGGTCAACTTAGAACTAACCCAGGTCCAACCCATGTCCATCCCAGGTCTAACTCCGGTCTAACTAGGGTCCAACCTAGATCTAATCCAAGTTCAACCGAGATCCAACCCAAATTTAACCCAATTCCAACCCAGGTCCAACCCAAGTCAAACTCATGCCTAACTCAAGCCCAACCTTGGTCCAACTCGTGTCTAATCCATGTCCTATAAATGGGTGACAACAACCCATAAGTTGGTTGACAACATCCTATAATAGCCTAGAAGATGGGGGCAACCATAACATAGGAGGAGAGGCAAACGTAGTCCCAAAAGCAACATAAAAAAATTTCTTACAACAAACATGCCTAGATATGTAAGAATAAATACATGAAATCAAGCAAAAAAAAGAAGTACCGACAATCACATTATCACTGTGCATAAATCTCACATAAAACAATTGAAAAACTACAAAGACCAATGCACATTGGCATGAAAGCTACAGTAAGTCAACAAAAAAAAAGATATTGATCTACCACAACACCCTCCTGATCATCAAGAGGACCGTCCTACAAGAACTTTCAACTTCTTCTCTTTTTGAGTGAGTAGAGAAACCTTTGGACGTCTGATCGAAAGTCAAATCATCAGTGTCACTGCAATCCAGTGATACAACAAATGGATCCCTTCCTAGAAGCCTTCATTGAATTCCTTTACACTTTGGTTCTTCAACTTCACGTCTTTTCTTTAACAATCAACATCCTCAATTGAAAAGTCTACAAAGTCTCTGTGTTCTGATCGAGTTTTTCATAGAAGGCGACCAACTTCCCAAACTCAGCCTTCCTTACTCTCGAAGAAAGGGCCAACTCATTTTAAGAGAATGTTGGTATCGCATCGCCAAAGTTTTGACATTTCCTTTGATTCTTCAGATGAATGAGATTCCATAGCCATTGAGATCTTCAAGCATGAAAAATCTTCTCTAGAAAGCTCAACAACGACACATAAATTTTCTTTCAGAAAGTGCAACAATGCGGGAAATTTTCTCTAGAAAACACAACGTTAACATGAAAAATCCCTTCTAGAAAGCACAACAATAGTGGGAAAAATCTCCTCCATAAAGCGCAACAACAACACGAAAAATCTCCTCCAAATAGTGTGATCAGGTCCCATGATTTTTTTCCTCTTCAAGATAATTTTGATGTCTTCCTCTGCTACTTTTCTATTACATGTATGTGTATTGGATCCTTGAGTAATATTAAGATGCTAATTTATTAATATACCACTGTCAATCTTTTAACACACTGTTTGATAGTCTATTAAACTTTTAGTTAAAATAATCAAAATTTTGCTTTAAGAAAATATAAATATATTCTTATTATTCAAATAAATAAGTCATTGACTTAAAATGAAAAGAACTTGAATATCTGAATAATTTAAGACTTTAAAATAATATTTTTGTCATTGTCATTAACTTCCGTCATATTTTACGATCACTTTGATTGACATTGCCTACTTGTCACAGTTTTTCGAAAATCATTTAATCGCCTTTACTTGATTATCATCATTTTTTGTCATTATTCAACTATCATCATCCAATCATCACATGTTATCATCCAACTAATATCATTTGATCATCATCATTTTATATTATATTCTTAATCTTATCTCACATTTAGTATTCAATTGTGACTAACTATATTATATTCTTAATCTTATCTCACATTTAGTATATGTCAAAGCCGAGTTCAATTGTGAGTAATTTTGCATTCTCTAATTGTAGACAAGCGCTAACTTCCAATATCTTACCAACATAATAGATATTTTACTTGAAGTACAATTTTTTTCCCTTCAGATTTTTCAAATAAAATATTAAGTTTTCTAATAATATTCTTGTATCTGTGTATTTAATTTTCATATAAAGAAAGACATTAAATTTTTTCTATTATTAAGAATATTCTAACATTCAATGTTTTTTAAATGGAATTCTCTATTATACTTTAAATTTAAATAAAAAAACACTCGTAACGGCTTGATAACATTTAAAAACAATTTTGAATATTATAAGTTATTCATTTAATTGGTATAAGAAAAAACCATGCCTTATCTTTGTTAAAACGAGGATTATTGCCGTAGAGACCCAGCCCACCGTACAAGCCAATCTGGACCATCCGGTTAGATCCGCAGATAAACTCACTCCCCGCTTCTAGCTTTTCAAGTGACATTCACGCGCAGAAGCATATGTTCCGAGACTGCTAACTCAAATAATATGCCGTGTGATTATCAAATTCCTCGCTGTAAATGGTGGATAGTAAATACCGTGGATTGGAAGCAGAGGGGGCTAAGCTCTGCCATCTGCTGTGCTCCATACCTTGCATCTTCACCCTCCTTTTTAAAGAAAGATTAACTGCGAGAGAGAACTTATGCCTCCTTTTTACAGTAGAGATAGAAAGAGAGAGAAGCAGGAAGAGCTGGAGAAGGGAGGGAAGTCTAGAGAGGCACATGGAGTTGCGGGCAAGGAGAAATGAGAGCCTCATAGAACGCCTTGAAAGCAGAATGCAAAAGTCGCATGTAGAGATAGCTCCTTAAGGGATTATTATGGGCGAGAGCTCCTAAAAGAGAGAATTTGAGAGAGAGAATAGAGTTCTGGAGAGCCGAAGAGCTGGGAAAGAGAGGATTTTTGGGTTCTATAAGAAGCGAACGCTGCAAGCTGATGGGACTATAAGCGCCTCTTTGCATTTCTTCTCGAGAGCGACATTTGGGCGTCTGAACCGCAATGCTTTACCTTTATTGCTTTTCGTCTTAGCTAGCAATGGAGGGGGAGAGGGCTGCGTTGGGTATTGTTTTTGCTTTGCTTCTCGCTGAGGGATTATGCTTCGCCGGCGGCGGGAAAACGGTTGTGAACGACGGTGAGGTTGCTGGAGCTTTCGTAGACATCTTTATTTATGCTTGGTTAGCTTTATGTTTTTGTTTTTTAGGTTGAGCCGTTGTTTGTTTAGCTTATGATTATTATAATAATCTCTTTACACTGTTCCCTGATTGCGTTCACTTAATATTTTAATGGGGGTTTTGTACTTTGTTCTTCTGTGCTGATTGCTACTTTTCTCTCATTCAGTCGGCCCTTTTAGTTTTTTTTTTTAAATTTAAATGGAGAGAAAAGAAAATGCTCCCCTTGTTCATGGTTTATTTCCATGGTTGTTTTATGGTTAAACCTTTTCGCTGCTCCCCTTGTTCATGGTTTATTTCCATGGTTGTTGTTTTATGGTTAAACCTATTCGTCCATTTAAAGTTGTTTTATTTAAATATTTTGAAAATTTCTACCTTGATTAGTAAAAAATGTTTATTGAAAATCTGACCTTTTTTTCAGAAAATTTTGTTTATAAATATTTGATTTTGATGATAGGCAGTCCATGTCGTATCTTTGCAGGAAGCAGTTTTTTTTTTTTTTTTTTGCTCCATTAGCCACAAAAATCCTTTATGTTTTTACCAAACTTTAAAACATAATTTCAGTTTTGAGGGCACAAAGTGGAATTATTGGCTGAATCAACAAATTTATCCCCCAAAATTTTCCAAACTTTAAAACATAATTTCAGTTTTGAGGGCACTTTGAATCAACAAATTTATCCCCCAAAATTTGATTTCAGATGATTTAAAGCTCTAATTGCGTGTCTTGCAGCTACTTTAATCGATAAGATATCGAAAATAGTTGCTAAAATGCTAAATCTTTGGCAGATAAACACCCCCATTCACCCAAAAAATTGCTTTTTTTATTTTAATGGCTGAAAAAACTTTCCTTTCCAGGTTCAACACTACTTGAAATCAAAAAGTCTTTCAGCAATGTTGATGATATTCTGTACGATTGGACAAACGCAGCGTCCTCAGACTATTGCTCTTGGAGAGGGATCACTTGTGACAGCATAAATTCTGAAGTCATTTCACTGTGAGAATGATTTTCTGTGGTTTTTATCGCATTACACAGTAAAAAGAATTAGGTCATTTCATGGACCTTATTCTTCTGTTTGAAAACTCAGCAATCTGTCTTGTTTAAATCTTGATGGAGAGATCTCGTCCGCGTTTGGGAATCTCAAAAGCCTCGTCTCAATGTATGACTTTATCCCTATCCTCATGGTATAATATAAAGTTCCCAGCTTTTATGCATGTTGCTCTTTCCTTTGATTTATTATTTTATTTTATTATTTTTCAGTGACCTAAAATCCAACCGGCTTTCTGGCCAAATACCAGATGAGATTGGTGATTGCTCTTCATTGAAGATACTGTGAGTCCAAATTATTATAAATGTAACTTCACCATTTATGTTTTGAATGTTTTGGCATTTTCTTCTGTGCCTCAGGGATTTATCATTTAATAACATCCATGGAGATATACCATTTTCCATATCAAAGTTAAAGAAGTTGGAGAACCTGTATGTCCTTTGATCTAAATCTCCTTTGTTGCTTCTTGAAATCTTTAATTTTTTTTTTGGTGATGGTGACATTATAAATTTTAGGGTTTTGAAGAGCAACCAATTAACAGGACCCATCCCCTCAACTCTATCTCAAATTCCCAATTTAAAAATTCTGTATGTATAATCTTTTTTTAATTCTATTCAGATCTCTTTAAATTTGATTGGATGAATTGCAAGAGAAATGTTATTGTTTCAGGGATCTGGCTCAGAACAATTTGAGTGGAGAAATACCTAGGCTTATTTACTGGAATGAAGTATTGCAGTACCTGTGAGTAGAAAAATTTTATTTTTCTGAGTCTGCAATTTCTTATTAAAAACTAATGCACACTTTTTAATTCAGTGGGTTGAGAGGTAATAATCTGGAAGGAAGCCTTTCGTCTGATATGTGCCAGTTGACTGGGCTGTGGTACTTGTGAGTGTTTATTGAACGAAAACATGTTAAGTTTTTGCGATGAAATTGTTCTTGAAGATATGTATTAATTTGCATATTTTTGTTCAACTCTTAGTGATGTAAAGAACAATAGCCTAACTGGAAGCATACCTCAAAGTATCGGTAATTGTACGAGTTTTCAAGTTTTGTAAGTGTCCTAGATCCCTGAGGATTCAAATCTGATACAATTTTGACTGAAGTGTATTACTCAAGGCATGTTTTTGATTTCAGGGATTTGTCATACAATAAGTTCACTGGAGAAATTCCCTTCAATATTGGGTTTTTACAAGTTGCTACTTTGTATGTGCAAGCGTTTGCATTGTTCTAATTTATTGAGCTTTTATATACATACCACACAATTCTTAATTATTTGCATGTCTAGCACCTAACTTTCATATTTACGTAACACTCAAATCTTTGAGATCACATAAAAAATACCACTTTGACTATCTCCTTAAAAATGAAATACACCTTTTGAGGCATTGCTTTTTAGTATCAAGTAGTTATAATTGTAAATATCAACTCTAGGTGTTAGATATGTAAATGCACAAGAATTATGCCGTATGTTTGCAAATTTCCTTTACTTTGTTGCATGCCCAATATCTTGAAGAAATTCTTACTAGTTTTTTTACGTCGTGTTCAAAATGCTTATTGTCAGATCTTTGCAAAATAACAAGTTTACGGGACCCATTCCTTCTGTCATTGGGCTGATGCAAGCTCTTGCAGTTCTGTGAGTTACATGATTATTGTCTCAAAATTTGTTGAGTGTTATGTTTATTCAAGTACTTTATTATGTATTATAGCCGGTTTATGTTCGTAGTTTGATAATGTGATGCTATACTTTTCTTACAGTAAATTGATAAGCATTATTATATTGAGTTTGTATTTATTTTTGTTTGAACATGATGCTGCAGAGATCTGAGTTGTAATCTACTGAGCGGACCAATTCCTCCGATATTGGGCAACTTGACATACACAGAGAAGCTGTAAATTCATAATCCAAGATTGAATTTTGTATAAAATATTGATTTTGTTTTTTGTTTTTGTTTTTTTTTTTGGGTAGTATTTTGGAATAGTTTGCAGGCTTAGAGGATAAAATATTGATTTTGTTTTTTGTTTTTGTTTTTTTTGGTAGTATTTTGGAATAGTTTGCAGGCTTAGAGGATTATGTTTAGGTTGTTTTAGTTATCAAACATCACTATTACTAATTTTTTAATTCCGAATACGTCCTTTCATGCATAGATATTTAATAACGAAGTGTTATAAATGTAAATATCAAACTTTTGGTGTTAAATATGCATATACATAAGAATTGTAGTATCTATGTAAATTTTCCTATTTTTAAAATGGACACAATTTTTTATAAATTTCTTTTGTTAAGAATTAATTGTTTAAGCTTTATTTTCTTTGTTGAAATGATGCCAAAATAAACCCGTCGACATATAAAAAGTTAATACCGTTTGATCCGATCATGCAACTTCTATACATTTCGGCCGACACATTTTCTTTTATTCCATCACTTGAATCAGTTCAAGGGGGTGTTTTGCGACCTAATTTATGTTGCTGTGAATCTCCAGATATTTGCAAGGAAATAAACTAACTGGAACTATTCCACCAGAGCTCGGTAACATGACAAGGCTACATTACTTGTGAGCAACAATCTTCAGAAATTTCATTTTAAATTTTAAATTTATTCATCTTTACATGAAATTCTATTTCGATACAGGGAGTTAAATGAAAACCAGCTTACGGGGCATATTCCAGCTGAACTTGGGAAACTAACAGACTTGTTCGACCTGTATGCTCTCGCTCTCGTACTATGACATTTAAATTTTTAATCTATGAACCCCTCTCTTTTCTTTTGATATAATATATCGGTAAGTTTATCAAAAAACTCAACTTTTTGTTTCAGGAACATTGCAAATAATTATCTCGAAGGGCCAATTCCTGATAACTTGAGCTCCTGTGTGAACCTGAATAGCTTGTAAGCATCAATGTATAATTTTTGAAAAAAATGTCAAAATAGTCTCCCGACTCCTTGCAGAGTGTCATTTTAGTCAAATAGTCTATAAAAATGTTAATTTAGTTCCTATACTCTTTTAAATTGCGGGCTGAAATAGTCTATTTCTGCCGCCAATTTAAAGAGTTTGGAGACTAATTTGACATTTTTATCAACTCTGGGACTAAAATGGCACCATTAAACAATCTGGTGGCTATTTTGGCACTTTATAACTATTAGTCATGCTTATCGATTCATGATAACACATTTATGTTGCTACAGGAATGCACGAGGTAACAAGTTAAATGGTACCATCCCGCGCTCATTTAAGAATCTTGAAAGCATGACATACTTGTGAGTTCATCTCTAGAAGCAATCATTTGTTGTCTTGATTTGACAACTATATTATCTATATAATGGACAATTGTAATATATAACATCACACCGGCCTCATTAATATTGTACTTTGTTGTATGCGGCAGAAATCTATCAGCAAACAATCTGAAGGGTCCGATACCTATAGAACTGTCGAGAATTGGGAATTTGGATACACTGTAATTGCCAATCTATGATTGATTTTAGGATCATTTACATACATACCATAAAATTCTTGTATATTTGCATATCTAACACCTAAACATTTATATTTACAAGCAGGCCACTCAATTCTTTAATATTACATAAAAAAGGCGTTAGATATGTAAGTACTTAAGAATTGTGTGGTATTATGTAAATTATTTTTATTGTTCAAACTTGATAGTTGAGGCCAAAACTTGCTAATATGGTTTAACATTATACAGTGACATATCATCTAACCAGGTCAGTGGCCCAATTCCTTCATCCATGGGAGATCTGGAACACCTTCTTAAACTGTATGTTCTACAGCAAAAAAATACTCGCATTTTTTATTTCTTCTGATTTGATATTTTAATATTTCTAACCTCCAGAAACTTGAGCAACAATATTCTTTTTGGCTACATACCTCCTGAGTTTGGAAACTTGAGGAGCATAATGGAGATGTAAGAATTCTGACTTTACATTATTCCATACACACCATTCAATTCTTATGTATTTACATAACTAACACCTAACTTTCAATTTCTACATACATGCCCACCTTATGCACAAAAAAGGTGTATTTCACTTTTAATAAATTTAAATTTTTACATACACCCCATTAAAATTGTGATATTTTTGATGTGATATGAAAGACTTGGGTGGCATAAATGTAAAAAAGTAAAATTTAGGTGTTAGATGTGTAAATACTTTAGAATTGGTTGGTTTGGTATTTATGTAAATGTGCCTTTTAAGCTTAAAAAAGGCTACTTTTCAGTTCTGAAACAATTATTTTCCTTCTTATATCTGTACCTAAAAAGTTTGGAATTGAAAATGCAGTGATTTATCAAGCAATCATCTCTCCGGTTTGATTCCGCAGGAATTTGGACTGCTCCAAAATCTCATGTTATTGTAAGTTTTTCATTGGTTAACAATGAGAGAGCTTGAGAAAAGCGGAAAGAAATTTTATCATCCCCAAATGTTAAATTATGGCAGGAAAATAGAAAACAACAATTTAACTGGTGATATAATGTTCCTAACCAACTGCCTCAGCCTCTCTGTTCTGTAAGTCCTGCCTGCAAATTTCTGCATGTTCCCATTAACAAAATAATAATTATATTTATGTATAATTTTAACAGAAATGTTTCCCGCAACAATTTGGTTGGAGATATCCCAACTTCCAATAACTTTTCGCGATTCTCGCAGCAAAGGTATATATATGTAAATAATCACCTAATGATTTTTGTTCTGTTTGCTTGGTGCTTCTAATTTCATTAACATGACTTATATTTCTCTTTTTTGTCCTTCATTCGAATCTTTTTTTTTATTGGTGGGCACAGTTTTTTTGGTAACCCTGGTCTATGTGGTCATTGGATTGGTTCTCAATGTCATTCATCCCAATCACCAGAGAAAAGTAAGAAAAGCTTTGATTCGTTATTTTATAACATTTTTTTTAAGGAAATTTTCTTGCGTATTTATATATTTAACATTCATAGTTTGATATTTTTGCTTAGAACACTAAAGTTTAATAAACTTATGCATGAAAATGTGTATTTCACTTTTAAAAAAATAGTAATAGTGATATTTTTTATGTGAGGTTGAAGGTTGGAGTTATACATGTGTAAATATGAATGTAAAGGCGTTAAATGTGTAAATAAGTTAGAATTGCTTGGTATGTCTGTAAATAAAGCCTTTTTCGCTTAAACAAATCTTAGTATGCTTTGCTTTATTGTTGCTCGAATGCAGCGACGATTTCCAAAGCTGCTATTTTGGGAATTGCCTTGGGTGGTCTTGTCATTCTTCTTATGATTTTATTTGTGGCCTGCAAACCGCACAATCCACCGTCATTTTCCGAAAGTCCCATGCATAAACCAGGTAGTTTTTATATGCGTTTTGAATGGCGTATTCTTTCAAAAGTTTCTTGCTTATGTGAATGAATTATTTTCATCGTTGCAGTTTCTAATGTTTCGCCGAAACTCGTGATTCTCCACATGAACATGGCTCTCCACCTTTACGATGATGTCATGAGAATGACTGAGAACTTGAGCGAGAAATATATCATCGGATACGGAGCATCGAGCACAGTTTATAAGTGTGTGCTTAAAAATTGCAGGCCGGTAGCCATCAAGAGACTCTACTCGCACTACCCTCAAAGCATTAAGGAATTTGAGACGGAGCTCGAGACGATTGGAAGCATCAAACATCGAAACTTAGTGAGCCTCCAAGGATATTCCCTATCGCCTTTCGGTAACCTCCTCTTTTACGACTATATGGAGAATGGAAGCCTCTGGGATCTTCTCCATGGTAATCTTCTATTAGATTTAATTATTTATTCTACTCACCAAAAGTAAGATACTGTTTTGTTTACGTTAGATATTATTAATAAATATTTTAAAAGAGAGATTTATTTAAACAAATAACAAAGGATACATAAAACTATAGTTATAAACGAGAGGAACTCAATTCAAATTCATTTCTATAAATTGTCTCAAACATTGAATAACAAAATACAAAAATTAATTTGTACCGATAACATACATCTGGCCATTGATTTGAGTTTGTTTATCTTTGATTTTGAAATCTTCTAAATCTTTTTCACCCTCTAATTGATGGTGCTGTTTTTCCTTCAGCGCCCATCACAGAAGTTTATAGCAAATACTGAAAATTTTAAACTGCAATTAACTTATTATTTTTTTACCTTGGCAAGCGAAGGTCCGTTGAATAAGAAAAAGCTCGACTGGGAAACTCGGTTACGAATAGCCTTTGGTGCAGCACAAGGGCTGGCTTATCTTCACCACGACTGCAGTCCACGGATCATTCATAGAGATGTGAAATCTTCAAACATTCTTCTAGACAAAGATTTTGAGGCTCATCTCACTGATTTTGGCATAGCGAAGAGCTTGTGTGTGAACAAGGCCCACACGTCGACTTATGTGATGGGTACAATCGGTTATATCGATCCCGAGTATGCGAGAACTTCTCGTCTGAACGAGAAATCTGATGTTTATAGTTATGGAATTGTGCTGCTTGAGCTCCTCACTGGGAAGAAGGCAGTTGACAATGAATGCAACCTACACCAGCTGGTAATGATAAACCTGTGAATATAATCATAATCTATATTTCCTCTTTTAAATTTACTCTGATGGTTCCTGGTTTCTTGTTTTTTGGTTTTTTTTGTCTTTTTTTCTTTTTTTTTGGCTTAAAAGCTTTGCCACTCAACTAAACTTTACTCTGAGGCAATCAGGCAAAATTAGCAGCTCTTTCATGTCTGTTGCATTACTTTTGAATAGCATCACTGTTTTATTAATTTATAATTTTAAACTATTTTCGCAATCTAATGCATTTTCTTAGAGAAAGATCTATATCGTCTGTGCAGATCAAGCTGATTTTTTTAATGGAGCAGAAACACAAAAAACAACAGCACAATGTTATCTAATAAAACGATACTGTACTATATATAGCACAACAATTCTTTTGTATTAACATCTTGGTTGTTTTCTATTCATTTTGAATTATCTGGTCGCGTTTCTTGTGATCAAGCTGCCTTTTTTTTCGAACAATTTTGGTGAAAGTTCTTATTTTGCAAATGGTAGTCTCAATAAAATTTAAAGCCAGAGCCATTAATGATTCAAATGGATTAAATACTCTGGTAACCTTATCTTTTTCTGTATCCTGCGGCAAGTTTATTTCTTTTTTACTGATTCATTAAGTGCTTCAAGAAAGATATTTACTTTGATGATCAGATACTGGCGAAGGCCACAAATAATGCAGTAATGGAGACCGTGGAACCCCACATCACCGCCACATGCAGTGATCCCGGTGCTATAAAAAAAGTGTTCCAGTTAGCTCTCCTCTGCACCAAGAAGCAGCCCTCCGACCGACCGACCATGCATGAGGTGGCTCGTGTACTTAGCTGCTTCGTGGCTCCGAACCCACCTGGAGCAGCAAAGCAGCCACCTTTGCAGTCCTCACTGCCTTCAACGTTGCCAAGCTACATCAATGAGTATGCTTCCCTCAAGAACAATGCTGCTCTGACCTATTGTACCTCACAAAGCTCCTCTGACGCCCAGCTCTTCCTCAAGTTTGGCGAGGTGATTTCTCACACCGAGTAAAAGCTTTTACCTACTCTCCTTCTGTGAAGAAAATGATTGTAAAATCAATGGCTATGAACTGTTTTGTCTTGCTCCTGCAATTCTAGTTTAGAGAGGGCAGTGCTTGTTAGTATTTCTGTAGGTATTATAAATTAAAATTACTGTTAGTTGTAAGCTTCAAGTGCATGCTAATGAAGCTTAGTCTGGTCTGAATCAATCTAATGATATATGCATGTATGCATTTATATTTTAATTTATGCATATATGTATTAAAATTTGGGCAAGTTCAATTTTATTGTTATGGCCTGCAAATCTGTGATAAGCTTTATTGTGTCATGGGGGTGATGAGATGGGTTGGCTGGGCATGAGTAATGGGGTCTTTGGCTTATGGGGTGGAGATATCATTATGGGTTTAGCATTCTCTGCACGCCTAGGCTGATTCTTTTAATCTGGACAGTCTTTTCATGGATTTCAAATTCAAGGTAGTGGTTTTGTTAGGGCCGCCTTATCTTGTCTAAGTCGATGAGATTATTGATAAGGTTTTCAGCACAGGATCCTTCCATTTAAAAATGTCTTATCAATTAGTTTTTATGTATTTACCATCCAGTAGCTAAATTTTAATGTTTGAAGTGGGGCATGCCAACTTTAAATAGTGATCTTTTTATATGACATGAAAGATTTGAGGTATAATTATAAAAAAAATGTGGAAGAGAACAAACATTATATAAATGAATGTTTAAATTTGTGGGTCCGGTTGAGTTTGTGTTGATGAGTGGAGAGGAGGGGATATGAACAATAAACAAAGAAGTCATAATCATTGTGTATGATAGAAGACAGTGTATTATCTTATAAGATATAATAAAGAAAGATGATTGAAAATGTATTTTAAAATATATTTATGATATGACATTTTTAACTTTCATAAATGAGTCTGTTATTTGCTTCTCTTTCCTTGCACATTTCTGTTGTTTAAAAATCATTTGAACTTTATTAAATTCAAAGGGTTTTTGTGCTATTGAGTCTGTTATTTGCTTCTCTTTCCTTGCACATTTCTCTTGTTTAAAAATCATTTGAACTTACTTTATTAAATTCAAAGGGTTTTTGTGCTATTATTCCAATCCAAATTTTGTAGCTCAAAGTGACCAATGGAAAGTAAAGATCTTTGTAGCATAAAGGTTGTAAAAGTTAATGAGGCACATTAATAAATATTTACACCTCTTAAATATTTATCTAATTGCGTTGAATTTATCAATGGAATGATCTAATGTTCGCACAAATTGTGTCATTGAAAATTTAGTGTCATTGCAATGTGACTAAATTTTTACACCTCTTAAATATTTATCTAATTGCGTTAAATATTTCATTGGGATGATCTAATATTGGCACAAATTGTGTCATACAAGATCTAATGTCTACCAAATGTTGTCTTAATTTGTTGAATTCTTTTTTAATACATATGAGAGATAATATTCAATGCTTATTCTAGTTGTGATGCTTCATTAAAGTAGTGAACCCTAGTAAGTCAACACTCAATATTCCAGTTTGTAAAGAATAAAATTCATCTAGAAACTCTATTTATTTTGAAGTCCAAGCAGTCATAAATCTTAATCGCATCAACATCATAAGAGAGTTTATATCGTATAACATTGAGAGCGTGGTGTCACGAACAAAAAGTCTCACATCAGCTAGGTGTAGGGTCGAAGATCAGTTATTTATGTCATGGGCTGCTCACCTCTCTTAAGAGTTCTTTTGGGTGGAGATTACAAGTGGTATCAGAGCAAATTACTGCCTTTTTAGGATTTAGGGCATGGGTTGCTCACCTCTCTTAAGAGCTCTTTTGGGTGGAGATTACAAGTGATATCAGAGCAAATTACTGTCTTTTTAGGATTTAGGGTTTAGGGTGGGCAGCCCAGGACTTAAATACTGCTCTTCAGCCCTACACCTAGCCGATGTAGGACTTTTTGTCTGTGACATTCTACTCCACTCGATTACGTGACACCCTCATCACGGATCAGTCCCTCTGCGGGTCCCACTGGACCATAGAGAGTCCACACACCTGACAGACATTAATCTGCTCTGATATCAATTTTCACCTCCCAAAAGAATTTTTAAGACAGGTGGGCAGCCAAGGACTAAATACTGCTCTTCGGCCCTTCACTTAACCGATGTGAGACTTTTTGTCTGTGACAGTGAGCTACAAAAATTCACAACCACATCTCAGGACAACTCTTTGCATTTTGTTTTTATTTTTGATTTGTTGAGATAATTTAGGAGAGTCAAATTTTCAGAAGATAAATTTGATTGTAGATAAGACATTACCCAAAGATTTTACTCTCATTTTACGAGGATTTTTTGATATGGGGTTTGAGGTTTCCCATAGGTGCAAGCTCAAATGGTTAATTACCCCTATCGAGGAGAGCACTTTCGATTAGGGTTGTCAAAAAGGCTAGTTGTTCGCGAAGAGCTCGAGCGCGTGTTCGGCTCGTTCATTAAGTAAACGAGTCGAAAACGAATAAGTTTTTAAAGCTCGAATTATAAATGAGCCAAACACGAAGGACTCTTTGTTCGCTCGTGTTTGGCTTGTTTTAGCTCGAAATAAAAAAAGATATATAATTATTTATATAATAAAATATCACATATATTATTGATATAATACTATATTATATATACTTATATCTAACTTTAAATCATAACATCTAATGTGGTAATGTGGTTATGTGTCTTTTTTTGCATATATTTGGTCCAGGTTCGAATCCAACACATCACATTTATTATATATACTTATATCTAACTTTAAATCATAACACCTAATGTGGTAATGTGGTTATGTGTCTTTTTTTGCTTATATTTGGTCCAAGTTCGAATCCAACACATCACATTTTATTTTTTCAATTTTATTTTAAAGAGATAATTTTGAGCCGAATACGAACACGAATATTTAAATTGAGCCGAACACGAGCACACTATTCACGAGCCGATTTCGAACACTAATCGATTTCGAACACGAGCGGTTTCGAACGAGCCGAGCATAAGCCAAGTCTGAGCTCGCTCAAGCTCGACTCGTTTACAACCCTACTTTCGATTAAGACTAGTCATTAAGAATTGAACATGCCATAACCACAAACATATAATTATTCAATTTATGAAATCCATCACTTGAAGCTTAAAGCGGATGATGGGGGAATGAATATGAAACCCAATCAAAATCCTATGGTTCCGTCACCCCGGGTTGTGATGGTCCCTAATCTACTTGGTCATAGGAGGTAGACGACCAAACCATACTGAATGATTCTCATCATCAGTCATGAGTTGCATCTTCCAAGAGAATCTTATAGTATGGTATGGATATTTGTTTAAGGGAACAAATTTATGTCGACCTTAACTAATTGGAGGTTTTATGTCAATCAATTGTAATCTTATGATTCACAACTCAAAAGGGTAGAATGTTGTTGGCGAACATACAGGATGTAGTCGTGACCGTAATCAAAATGGTTTCATTTGGCATCAACCACCCGATCAGAAATCTCTAGTCTTATTCACTACTTTAAGGTGTTATTTTGGACTACAAAATCATGCAGTCAGAGGACTCGAGTCACATTCTTACCGGCATACAATTACTTTGATTGTAAATATATTGACACATTTAATATGATATTTGTTCTTTGTGAACTAAAGTCAATAAGAAGTTTATCACCCTCGACAAACTATTGTAGAGGGTGGATGCAATTTGCTTTTAACTTTTAGGAGATTGAATTTTAGCTTGCATATTTGGTTGGTTACTTTGAAAATCTTGATTTAAGAGATTGACCCTTCCGGTTGAATTCTTTGATCAACACGACTATCATTAGGGATTTAAACATTTAACGCTTTTATGATTGAAGGGGGGACAATAAATTTCTTTAGTTTAAGTTTTTCAAAGTATAATAGATAGAAGGATCAGTCTAGTGGGGTGATTGGGACTTGTAAATTTCATCTTTAGGATTTGAACGTTCATATCAAAATTATTAGACTCGTCAACATCAGTCCTTGTAAGGAGGATGATTGAAGTAGTGGGATGAGACTTACAACTGTATCCTATAAACAAGGTAGTCTGATTAGCATACGCAACATTCTCGAACATGGTTTTTGAACAGTCGATATATTTGTTTGAGCATATGGGGGCATTTAATCTATGTATTTAAAAAGCAGCTTTAAAGACTTGCATAAGTTTTAAGCCATGAATTTAAAATGGACTTTACATTAGGAGACATGCAAAATTTTGAAAATGTGTAATTAACTTGCACATATAAACACTCTAAAGCATAAATAGCTCAAGAGTAGCTCAAATGGTACTCATCTAAGTCTTAAGAGTGGACTCAAATTTCGAGATTTCTCATTTGACTTAGAAAATAAACATGGGCTTCATATAGATTTTGAAATCATTCACAGTTTAAGTATTTACAAAAGCATTATGATTTTAGACTTTTAAAAAAAGAATCATGTTCTGTTCGCTAGCAAGAGTATTGTGAATTTGTTGGCGGGGATAATTAACTTATATATTTGAGCTATTTTAACTAGATTAATTGATGTCTTCAAGAATATGATTTTAAAAATTGAATTAAATTAAATAACTCACATACAAGTTATCATTTTAAGCTTTATAAAAAAAATACTGTCTTCTGCTCGCCTATAAACATGTTGTGAATCTAATGACAGAGACGATTAAGATTTCAAAAGACTTCATGTTTGAATTATGCCTCACCTTTACGGGCCTAAATCTGAATAGCTCAAATTCAAAAAAAAATTTAGATTGGGCGAGCTTAATTTTAAAATTTAAATCTTAGTATTGTAAGCTTGAAAAATTATATTTTAATAGCCCAAAACTTTAAAATTTTAAAACTCTAAGAGCCTAAATATTCAAAAGCCAAACTCCCTGCTGTTTTAAGACCCTAAGAGCCTAATTTTTAAAACCTCGACTTTTTCCAAATAATTTTAAAATTCAAATGAGTGATAATTTATTTTTATTTTAAAAGTCCAAAATTCTAAATATTTTAAAGATTACAAGTCCAAATCACTCAAATTTTCGGGGTATGGGAGAGTGTCACCTTTCCCAACTATCTCAAAAGACGAGCTGGTCAGTGTCGTGATTGGAGAGCAAATATGTAAATTTAACCCGCGATCTTAAAAGACTCAACGGACCTTCAATGTACCTGCACGAAAATTTTAGATTTCGAACCAACTTTTCTCGAATGCCCTTCAATGTACCTGAATAAAAATTTATTATCTCAAACTAGCGTT